AAAGAAGCCTGCAGTGCTTGAGCTTGGAGTATAACCAGCTAAACAAGGTAGACTCAGCGGGCCATGCTTCGGGACTGAAACCGTTCAAACAAAACTCAACCTTTTCTCTAAAGGCTTGCAGTTGTTGTTGGCTGAAGCCTTCGAGCTGGATGGCTAAGAGTGTCTGCTGGGAGACTGTCGCCCCCCTGATCCGGTCTACCCGAAACCTTCGGCTGAGCATTGCCAACAGCGCACGCCCGGAAGGCTGCACGCCTAACGCATGTGCTCGCTCGGTGAACGCCTGGGCAGCGACTCCGTAGTCTCCCTTGAGGTGTTTTGGATCTGTAAGCTGTGCAGCCAGGAATGCATCAAGGCGGGGAAGGCCGTCAGACGTGACCTGCAGATTGCGCATCTGTCGGTCTCCTATGGCTGGATCAAGGGCGACCTGGAGCCATCTCAGTATCCTGGCGTTCCCACTCTTGTCTATGCTGCTGAACGATGTCAAAACGCCGTTCCTCCATGCTCGATATCCCGCGGCTGTCGAAGGAAGTGCAGGGATTTTCAGGTCTCGAAGATCTTTGTTGTGGTAAGTATCCTGCTCATAGTCTACTTCTTCTTCCCCCGGTGCATCGGTGACATCAATGATGGGGTCATCTTCCCTCTCCTCTTCCTCCTCACCTTCCTCGTGTTCGGACCCGATGTCGTAGTGCATCGGAGGGTCTGGGGGATGCACGACTGAAGGAGGTTTGGGAGTGGAGAAGACGTTGAAGGGATTGTCACTCGAAGAACCCTTCTTGGATCTAGACGGAGCCGGCAAACCAACACCGGTGAAAACTGGCAACCTGGGTGCGCAGAAGCATCCAAACCGATTTGGAACAGGCGCAGCAGCCACACCAGCAGATCTTTGACCTTGAGTCGCTGAGACCTTTGGACTCTTATGCTTAGGGGAGGGTGTCCCGTTTCGGAGCCCCGAACCTTTCGCTTTGCTTTTAGGCTTGGATGCTTTGGGACTGACGATTTCTCGCAACTCCTTCATTGTCTCACCAACACTTGCAGCCAAGGCCTTGAGGGCTTCACTGATCTCCGTGCCATTTTGGTCCTGAGCCCTTGAGGCCTGCGACACTCGCTCTGCGTGAAGGTGGGATGTGTCGGCTTGGGACTGTTGTTGAGCTTTGATGCTTTGCATCTCAGCTTGGATCATCGCAATCCGCTTCATCATTTCTTCCTGCTGCTCCTCAAGTTCACGATTCCTAGCCTGAAGTGAGGCAATGGTTTCGTTTGCTTGTGCAAGATGCTGACCGGCTTGTTCTGAAACACTCTGGACCTGTCTCTCAGCTTCAGCCCTAACGCGCTCTGCATACTCTTGTGCGTGCTGCATGGCTTCATGTTGAGCAGAAGTGACAGCGCTCTGAACATATGCCTGAGCCTCACTCTTTGCAACCTGCACGTATGCCTGAGCTTCATGCTCTGGGCAAACACCTGAGCGTCCTGTTGAATGTTTTGTGCTTGCGCTTGTGCCAGCTGTGCAGCAGCAACGGCCTGAGAATGTGTTCGGGAATCAACCCCATGAAGATGCAATTCCTGACGACTCTGATGCAGGTGCAACTCTGGGGCAATGCGCTGAACATGCTGATGCAAGTGCACATCCGGGGTGGTTGTCCCATCGCCCGGTGCAAGCGAAACAGGTTGACTTGCTGGTGCAGGACTTGCAACTTCACATGCATAAGCTGGCGGAGGCAACAAAGCTTGCATCCTAGCGGAGGAAGAGCGATTTCGGGAACTAGCTAAGGCATAGGGTTGAGAGGACCTTCCCCTTCCGGTTGAAACGGCTCTTACGGGAGTGGAATCACTACTGCTCTCTCCTACCCTTGCTTCTTGTGCCCTTACAGCACTGAGTGCCCGCGCCTGTTGTGTAGGCGGCGTGCTGGAAGTGGACACCTGGAGCGAGGAATCAGTAGTTTCGGGACTCATCGCCATGGTGCCAGGCAATAGAAACCCCAGGTTCCCCTGAAGGTCAGCACCTCTCTTTTAGCGTTTTACAGGGACCGCAGCCACAACAACACAGTGGGCACGAGATCAGTCAGCCACGTATTCGGCGATACCAAAATACCGTGAACACCATACGCCTCGACGTCCCGCACGATGTCTGATCTGTCATCCAAATGACACGCAAAGTGATCCGACCGCCGGTCCATCAGGACGGCCCGTTGGAGAGCTAGTGATGCTCCGAAGCCATCGACTGACGCGTTTCTTTGGCCCGTTCTGTCCCAGAGTAACTCGTGCAAATAAACTTCAGCTTCACGTGGCTCGGACGCTCTGCGTTCAAACGGTCCAAAAAATCTCGGCTGTCCTGAAAGTGGATGTTGAGCACCCCGCTGAAATCCAATGAAATCAGGACAGGGATGTCCTCACGCACTTCGACCACTTCCAAAGGTGCAACACGCGGCGCGGCAGAAGAAGAAGATGAGAGCGCCTGATTATGCTCTCTCCACTCTTCAGTAGTCCACCGGTTTATGGCTTCTCTATCTGAGTGTTGTCCCAATTCAACCTGTACCCTGAACGAATCCGCTATGGTTGGATACTCTCTTTCGTCCAACTCCCAGTCCTGCGGTGGTCTGGACTCGGGTCGGGCCTTTGCTTTGGGACGATACACAAGAAGATCTGCTGCAGCCTCCGGTGCACGTGACGGACCTGGTGTTCCGGGCAAGGTACTTGCCTTGGGAGGAACCGGGGTTCTATTACCCTTATGTTTAGGTCGTGCCCTAGGAGGTGCAGGGGTTCGATCACCCTTATGTTTCGGTCGCGGTCTAGGAGGTACCGGAGTTTGGTCAGAACCCTCAACCAAGGAACGAGGCGGAGATCTGGAACGCACTGCGACAGGAGGAGTCCTCGGAGCCGGTATCTCAGGCTCCGGCGAAGGTGCCTGAAGCACTCCTCTGACCTCTTCCAGGGTATCCTCGACGAACGTAGCGTAAGGATGATATGGCAATGCCTCCGTGCCCTCGAGCTCTCTTTCTCGAGTTCGGACCAGCCGTATGGCCCCAGACTGCTGCTGAGTACCGATGAGAAGCTGCACCAGCGCACGGATGACCACCAAGAGGACAGCTTTCCTCCGACGGAACTCAGACGAGCCTTTGACCGCAGGCGAGTTCGTGGCCCTGGAAAAAGCAGCAGTCACACGCTCCACAAAGGACTCTTCAGAGGTCACGCGTTCCCACGCCTGCAAAAAATCGTTCCAACCCATGGTACCAGAGACAATTGCACAGCCTGATTCGGGCGGCAACCCCTCTAAGCCTAATTCGGGCGGCGACCCCAACAAGCCTAGAAAGTGGCCAGAAGAATGTGTGCAGAGTGCCTGAGCTTGACTACCTTGCCGGGATTCCTCAGATGGGATATTGGGGCAATGCAGGTCTTTCAACTAACGACACGCACTCAACCGGCTGTCTGAGCCAATGCACACGGATGAAAGTGGGGAAGACCCGCGACTCTCTTTGCTTTGACCCTGAAACCTCTTAGGGATTGGGACTTTGTCCGATGTTGCGTTCACAGTGCGTGGTCAAGCCGACGGCACTGTGGGTTTGCTGTTGGCGGAGTGATGGGCTTAGTCTCAACCCGAAGGGAGACCACAAACCACGCGAAGATCGAAGTCTGAACTGAACCTGCTGTTTGGGCAGTTCGAGGCGAAGCACACGGTGATGCAGTGATGCTTCGTCAGACGCCTAGGGTACCCACAAGGCCTAGCCTCCCTAAACCGTGCACGGGTTCACAGGAGAGGGTACAAAGGCAAGATGTTCAGGAATGTTTGAAGTGAAGTCCGAAAGTCAGAACCAACCAGGGCAAGAGGGGCGAGCACCTCGACACCGCAGCGGAGATGCGCAGCCACACGATGTACCTGGATGTCACGGAAAGTATTGAGGCAATCTAGGGACCCACCTATCGTCGGCGTACGTTAAAGCACGGACAAGGACCCTAAGCTGCCAGTCAAACGATACCTCTCTGTAGTGATTAGCAAGAAGATTACTCACGAACCTTCTCCACCAATTTAGCGGATGAGCAATCAACAAACGCGTGATGCGTTTCTCACGCAAGGCCTTAATGAAATGAACCCAAATGTGGAGGTGTGTTGCGTAATGCTCTTCCGGCTCAGTGCTTTGCATGCACGATCGAAGATTTCGAGATATGGAATGCCACGTGGAAAGCCCAACGGTGGCTTGCAGGTGAAGTGAATGCAATTGCTGAGCCTGGCTCTGGCTCGACACAATGCTGGATGTGAAGTATGAATGAGGCAGGGCCAGCGGCTCCTGTCGCGCAATTTCAAGCACACTCTCAAGGCAGGTGTGCGGTTATGGAGGGGGCACTATGGCGGCGCGCGGCTTTGCCTACGTTCCTACCAAAGTGACCACGTAGCTTGAGGCTGTTAACCAGTTTAGTACAACAAAGGTACTTAAGACAAGGAAAGACGCACAACGGGCACGCCTATTTTCCTTGAGCCAAAATACAATCAGTCATCCGAATCTGCTCTCCTAACCCTACTTGGTATGTACAGCTAAACGGTGGTTTGGGGCCAGTTTAGTTAACTTACGATTTGTAACTACTCCGACCCCTCTATTAGAGTCAGTTGTGTGGTCCTGGCTGCGCAAAGCAGGCCTTGAACAAGGTTTAGGGTTTAGGGTTTAGGGTTTAGGGTTTAGGGTTTAGGGTTTAGGGTTTGGGTCTGCTTTTTTGCCACCTGCCAAGCAGTCCAGCCGCACCACAGGGTGTGGGGTTTAGGGTTTAGGGTTCAGTCACAGAGCTAACTCAGCAAGAGCAGAAAGCGCCAACAAACCGCCAACACTTCACCCCGAATGGCCCTGCAAGCTGGCTTCGAAACAAGCCTTAGCGGATAATCACCAGAAAACTTTTTGGAGCAGGGTTTAGGGCTTAGGGTTTAGGGTTTAGGGTTTAGGGTTTAGGGTTTAGGGTTTAGGGTGACACCCTAAACCCTAAACCCTCACAAAACCCTGTTATCCCCAACGAGGAGCCCTCTGGCGGCGTGTACTTCTCCAGGTAGAGGCGCACTGTGGCACCCGCCACCTTGGGGACGAATTATGAACCCTAAAAGGGGTTTAGGGTTTAGGGTTTAGGGTTTAGGGTTCATATTACCTTAACAGGAATTATAGTAGTCAGGGTATATGACCCCAATTTTAGGGTCCATTTCGTCCCCAAGGCACCCCGGTGCCGGAGAGGCGGAAGATTATTCGGGAGCCGTCCTCGAAGATGAACCGAACGCCTGCGGCAGAGACAGACCTACGGGTCCTTAGCAGGGAATGAGGGGAAATAGGTACCTTATATCCCCTGTATAACCTCTTAAAGGGTACGTACATGTACATATATATATATATGTTTTGTTTTGTTTTAAATTCTGTTTATTACATATAGAGAGAGAGGGATATAAGGTACAGCATTTCCTCCCTCCGTACTCTATGAACGAATTAAGCAAAGGCCGGTGAGCGGTGGGCCAGGCTCCGGGTGTCGACCAAGCAGCTCGGACGTATGAGTTTTAGGGCTTAGGGTTTAGGGTTTAGGGTTGGCTAAGGGAGGCTATGGGGGACTTGCATAGACTTGACCTGGGGCTCTATATTTCTACCTACAGTTTAGTAGTAACTACCCTTGATTAGAAGGTCTAACACATAAACTGTAGGTAAAGAGGATCCCAGCAAGGGTTTGCAAGGCTACCGGGTGCATAGTTGCAAAGGTTCTACGTATTGGATAGTCGAAGCTAAGTGGGGTCTGGTCTTTGCGTCTGCTTATGAAGGCTGGGGCAGGTGAGGAACAGGTAGGCCGCTTGGCAAAGGTCCACTGAGGAGACCTGTGGAACCCTAAATGACCCCAAACATGATACAAGGTTCCACATGATAGGTATCCCAAAAGGGGACAGTCATGTCATATAGGGCCTGAAGATTCGAATAGGTTTTTTTTTGGGGGGGGATTATAGTCTAATCAGAAAGGGACCATAATGGCATACTATTAGTATTTATTCCGACCCCATATAAGCCCTAAACCCTAAACCCTGAACCCTAGACCCTAACCCTAAACCCTAAACCCTAAACCCTAAACCCTCTGAGTCGGGAATCTGGCCATCCGGCTCAGCAAGAGTCGGGGCCAGAGGGTTTGAATGATTGGCCTTGGTTCTTGGACACGCTGCCATCCACCGGATCGTTGTACTCAAAGACCTGATTTTGGGAATTCCTTTTAGGGTTTAGGGTTTAGGGTTTGGGGTTTGGGGTTTGGGGTTTAGGGTTTACGGGGGCTTCGACGCCCTCTACCGCATCTGAAATGCTCGCGACCACATCAACGACCATAGCTCCCCCTTTTGCTAGCAGTCCTTCATAGGGACTATAATCGGGGGTACACAAATCCAGAATAAGGACTGTTCGTATAAGGGCCTTTGTAAGGGGGAACATCCCGTGGCGTTACTGGTGGATTTCCGTGTTAATAGCATCATTTCCAGCTGCTTCAGGAGGGTGCTTGGCGACATCTGCGGCTTTACGGGAGACGCTTTCAGCTCGCATCTCTCAAAGCCCAGCTTCACCTCATCCACCCCTGCATCCGCAGGAAAACCAGCAGCCCAAACCGATCCCAAGAGCAAAAGCAGCACAGCAAGGGAACTCAATCGGTTTTTTGGAAAGTTTACCGGTGTTTGCCGAGATCGGATGAGTCCAGGGTTTATGGGGCCTGCCGGGCCTTCACTTAGGGTTTAGGGCTTAGGGTTTAGGGTTTAGGGCTTAGGGTTTAGGGTTTAGGTTTTAGGGTTTAGGGTTTTACAAACCTTCACAGCCCCCCCAGAAAGTGGTGAAGGAGTCTAAGCCAAGGGACATCATTGATCTTGATCTTCATGTTGCCGAAAGTCTGGCCAACGAGCTGGCCTCTCTTGCGCAGCGTCTTTCGGGGACTGAAGATACCAGTTTTGCAAAAAGCCCAACTCCTATAAACCCAGTAGACCCACCCAAACTGGAAGTGAAAGTACCCGCCCCTGACCCTAAACCTTAAACCCTAAACCCTAAACCCTAAACCCTAATCCCCAAACCCAAAAACCTACGACCCTTGCCTCCACAAGGGCAGCCCCCTATTTTCTTAATCGCGGGTCCTCATCAGGGCGAGTTTTCATTTCGTCTGAGTCAACTGAAGGCTCGCTCGTCTTACGATCCGTTTAGGTTTTTTTTTAAGGTTTCGGGGTTAAGACGAACTCATGGCCTCTCGTTTGCATGTCGTTTTTTTTTTTGGGGGGGGGGGGGGGGGGCTTCATTGGGGCAGAGGTGGGCTAGCTAAGGGCTGGAGGCTTACGCATTTGAGCTGAGTGGCTGGATCAAGCCCCAAACCTTTAGTTCTTTTTTCACCGTCCACCCTGAACCCATATAAACCCTAAACCCTAGACCCCTGTTTTTTAACCCAGACTCTTTACATCAGCTAACCCTAAACCCCTAAGCCTAAACCCTAAACCCTGGGCCCTCCACCCCCTTTGGGCCATAAACCCTCATGGCGGCACCTGACTTGTCGGACATCGCCTTCATCATCTGCTCCGCTTTGGGCTTGTCAACGCCTGCCCCCAACGAGATCCACCGAGCTTCCGAGGGTTTGGGGTTTCCTGGGTTTCCTACGGACCACCTCTCCGGGTTTGGAACTACCTACAGATGGTGACTATTTTCCGAATAGTACCCGAATAAGAACCTCCTCCTCCTCCCCCCGCCCCACCCAAACAGGTGCCCCTGGTTTTCGGAACCCCCCCCCCCCCCCCTGAAACCCGAGACCCAAATCGAGCAGTAGCCTTCATAGTCGTAGCGGGCATAGTAATTTCGTCCATAGGTCCTCAGTTGGGGCTTCGTATCGAGTGGGTCGCCGCTTCGGGTGTCAGGGTCGTCGAAGTCTAAGCTAGATCTAACTTGGGTCTGCTTGGGAGACAGCTTTGCTTTGTAGGGCTTAGGGTCTGGGGGGAAGTTGGGTGAAGAGCCTTGAACTCTGATCCCATTGTAGAGTGCGCAAATCTGATTGTCCATGTCCGAACACGCCTGAACCGATGCAAGAAGGACGAGATACTTCCAGTGCTCATTTGCAACGTCCTCCACCGACACGAGCTTTCCAGCCTCAAAAAGCTCTTGCTACATTCCAGACATTTAGACAATCAGAAATAGCCTAGTTCACATGACGTTCAGTCAAGCCTTAAACCCTGGAAACCCTAAACCCTGACGCCCAAAATACAAGGCTCGCTGATTCGGGCTAGGGTGCCTCGACAAGGCTCTCGATCTTAGAGGGTTGCGGCTTAGGTCCTAGCGTTAAAGTTTTGTAGGGTCTAGCGTCGAGCGTCGAGCGGCTATTGGGCTTGGTTAAGTTTGGGACCGCAGGTTAAGGGTTAACGGCTTAGGGTTTAGGATATTAGGTGAACGGTTGAGGGTATAGGTTTTCCGGTTAAGGGCTAAGGTTTTCGGATTCTAGCTCAAGGGTTAAGGGTTTAGAATGAAAGGTTAAGGGTTTAGGGTTTTAGGGTAGGATTTTAGGGTAAGGGTCTAGCTCTAAAGCGCTTATAAAGGGTCTCTTTTAGTCTTGAGCCCTGCTGACCTTCTCCGTTTTCCTGGCCAGGATCTGAAGCCAGGCAAGCACAGCCCACATTCCATCCTGGCAACAGGAAGAGCACATGTGGGGTTGCTACGGCAACAGGGGACCGCCGATGTAGATCCCCCCCCCAATAGTAGGATCTTTGTTTTTTTAACAAGGACACCAGTAAGGTACCTAATTTCGGAAACCCCCACGTACGTCAAAAAAATGTACGTTCCCCACCGGGCCGCAGAACATCACACGCTGAAACCTTTCGCACACGAAACCCCAAACCCTAAGCCCTATGAACCCTAAACCTTAACCCTAAACCCTAAATCCTGACCCTAAACCCAAAACCTAAACACTAAACCCCAAGCCCAAACTTTAATCCCCTGAGCAGATTCGCATGACATGACGCGCCTTCTCGCGGACGTGATCGGCGCCCGTACCAAAGGACTCCTCACCGCAGATGAAGGGCGTGTAGACCTTCCTGGCTTGCAGGGTTTAGGGTTTAGGGTTTGGAGTTTATAAGGGTTTACGGCTTTACGGTTTAGGGTTTTAGGGTTTAGGGTTGAGGGTTTAGGGTTGAGGGTGCAAAACACAACTCAACAAAACCTTTTACCTGCTCGGACAACATGGACACGAGGCTGCATGAGGAAATCGATCTCGCCGCGTGACAGCGTCCGGGCAGAAAGTTTCGAGCTCCACTCCCAGGGCCCTAAACCCTAAACCCTAAACCCTACACCCTAAACCCGAAACCCTAAAGTCTAAACCCTAAACCCTAAACCCTAAACCCCAAACCCTAAACCCTAAACCTAAAATCTAAAAATCTAAACCGTTTGGAATCCTAAACCCTATAAGCCCTAAAAAGACCCGCAAGCCCTGCGGTCCCAGGAACTTGTCGGGGAAGTACTGGGTTCCGCTGTCCATCAGGTTGCCGAAGAACTTCCATCCTGCTGGGTTTAGGGTTTAAGGCTTGGCATGCGCTCTCTGCAAGCAGGGTTTCAGGTTTAGGGTTTAGGGTTTTCCGGTTTAGGGTTTAGGGTTAGGGTTCATGCACCGGACGCTTCTACGAAGCCCTGGATCCACAGTCTCCCCTCCAAAGCACGATACATCGTCCCGAAAGCCCGCAAACCCACACTCAAACACAGATGAAGCTCGAAGCCCTTACCCTCCCCTTGCCTGACTTCCTCACCCTAAACCCTAAACCCTAAACCCTAAACCCTAAACCCTAAACCCCAAACCCCCCGACCTACTGGCCTGTAGGCACCTCAAAGCACTCGATCTCCTTCGCCTCACGATTGTTTTTTAGGGCTTCGGGGTTTCGTGGGACCAGGCTACGACCTTTGGACCAATTTTGAACCCTAACAGGGTTTAGAGGGTTTAGGGTTTAGGGTTTAGGGTTTAGGGTTTAGGGTCTAGGGTCCATATATGGTCTTGGGATGTTCCTCCGTATACCAACAGTCCTTGCTAGGGATGATCAAATATTGTGATCCCGATTAAGGACTGTTAGTATAAGGGGGAACATCCCTGTCATACACCTTAATCGGATTTGTAGTAGGAATTGCAATTGCAGTAGTCTTCGGGTTCTCTCTTCGGACGCCCCACGTCTCACAAAGGTTTTTTGTTCAAGTTGAGGGGATCCAGGGTGAAGCCTGAACCTGGATGGTCTAGGGGTTAGGGTTTAGGGTTTAGGGTGTAGGGTTTAGGGTTTAGGGTTTAGGGCTTAGGGTTTAGGGCTGAGCCACAAAGCCTATAAACTCCAACACCCTAAGGCCAAACTTGGGATGTTCGCCCTTATACTAACAGTCCTTATTAGGGAATATAGTAGGGTTCTATAATCTATAAGGTTTGTTTTCACAAGGGACTCGACTGCTGCCCTTTCTGCCCAGCCTGTGCCCACGCTAAGGGGAACATGCCAACCGAAACCCTAAACCCTATACTCTTTTTGGATCCGCGTCTCCCTGCTGTGCTGCCGAAAAATTACATCTAGTTTCTTATACTCGTGAACCCTGTAAACTTCCCCATAAACATCCTGAGTCAGGGTTTTGGGTTTAGGGTTTAGTGTTTAGGCTTTAGGCTTTAGGGTTGGATCCTTTACGAGACCCCACCTTCGCCACCAAGTCCACCGCGCCGCTGGTGGGCATCGACCGGGCACAGCCCTTCAGCCCAGCCTCCCGATCGCGCTCTTCTGTCGCGCTTGTAGGGTTTAGGGTTTTGGTTCTTAGTAGGGAATGATGGAACGAGGTACCCTATACACACCCTTTTAGGGTGTATATAGTTACCAAGAACCAGGGGCTCTTCTGTCCATAGGGGCGAATAGGATTGTCAGAGGGTTTTTTGTGCGGTTGTTGATAATTTATATTGGCTTTTGTTAGGGGATCTTAGGGCTTCTGGGCTTGTATGGCTAAACCCTAAACCCTAACCTCGTTCTACAGACACAACTTGTAACAGAGCTTGACGAAGATAGACAGAACTCCCCGCCCTCCCTCCTTGCCTCCCTCCCTCCCAATGAACTCTTTAACCCTACAGAAACCCTAGAAACCCAGAACCCCTATAGCCCTAACCCTAGACCCTAAACCCGAAACCCAAGAACCTAATAACAGATACGCCCTGACGCCAAGCGGCCCTGAATTGTGGGATGAGGTCAGCGTTGTCCACGATCATGGCCAAGGAGTCGGAAGGGGAGACGAAGAACCTCTAGGGTTTAGGGTTTAGGGCTCGGGTTTAGGGGTTAGGGGTTAGGGTTTAGGGTTTAGGGTTTAGGGTTTAGGGTTTAGGGTTCGTGTTTAGGGTTTAGGGTTTCGGGTTTAGGGTACACAGAGTCCCAGGTAGGGATAGGCCCCTCATACATCAGCAGTCTTCTGGTCATGACGATCGGACCCGACGATTACCCGGTGTTGCCACGCGTGGTGGACATACTACATCCCTGCTGAACCCGAAAGTCCCTAAAAGACTGGCTGGTTCTTGGTAGGGTTTAGGGTTTAGGGTTTAGGGTTTAGCGTTTAGGGTTTAGGGTTTAGGGTTTTGTAGGGAACGGGGGAATGAAGTACCCTATATTATCCCTTAACGGGCCTCCATTCCCTGCTAAGAACCAGCCCGAAGAGGTTTGGCCCCGGGGGCTGGCTGCTGAGGATATTAGCCCTAAACCCTAAACCCTAAACCCTAAACGCTAAACCCTAAACCCTCAGTCCTAAACCCTCAGTCCTAAACCCTAAACCCTAAACCCTAAACCCTTTGGCCCGGGCGACTGGCTGCTGAGGATCATGTTCCGGTCCGCGTCGCCATCGGCCGCGGCACCAAAGGAGGGGATGGGCTTCGGGCTGGAGATCTTCTGGCCCTCCTGCGTTTTGGAGGGCTTTTGTAGGGTTTAGGGTTTAGGGTTTAGGGTTTAGGGTTTAGGGTTTAGGGTTTAGGGTGCTTGGGGGTTTTTGAAGACTTAGGGCGTGTTTCTAGAGTGGGTTGGGCGTGCTACGGTAGGGCTTCAGCATCTTGATTTGGGTGCCTCAGGCGAGTGTACGAAAACGGGGGACCCTAATATAGACCCCCAAACAGTATAGGATCTCCTCATAAGAAGGACCCCAATAAGCTACCCCCTACCCCCTAAAATTCGGAAACCCCCTCACGGCTTCGAAGACCCAACGCTGTGAGGGAGTCTGGGAGCCTGGAGGCTCGAAACTACCGCAACAGCCCCCTGAACCCTTTCTACCCCCCCAAAACCCAAACTCTGAGAGGGGGGGGGGGGGGGAAGTCTTGCCGAAGCCCTGCCCCAGGAAACCCTAGCCCAAACCTTCAACCCTAAACCCCAAATCCCAAACCCTAAACCCCAAACCCTAAACCCGAAACCTTAAACCCTAGAGCCCCAAACCCTAAACTTGCACATCGCGCCTTGTTCAGGCCCATGGTGGCCACGAGCTCCACTGCGTAGGTCAGGTTCCTCACATGGTGGTGGCTGGACATGTGGTGGGGTCCCTTTTTTGGCTTCAGGGTTTTAGGGTTGTAGGATTTAGGGGGGTTGGGGCCTTTAGGCCTTTAGGGGCTTCGGGGTTGGATTTTGGGTACGGCTTAGGGTCAGATTTTGGGAACCCCCAGAAAAGGGTACCACGCATGGGTGCTACCTCCATGTGAAGAAAACCTCGACGGACTACTTTGCCGGCTTTTAGGACCATCAACGATGTGAAGACCTGCACGCGTGGGACCCTAAACTCTACAATTGCTGACCCTAAACCCCGACACCCTAAACCCAAGCTCTGAACCCTATGTAAACCCTAGGCTCTAAACCCCTAAACCCTAAGCCCCAAAACGCAAAACCCGAAGTCTCACCGAAATTCGGAAAGGCGAGGTGCGGATCCGCATGGCCATGCCACGCCGAGTCGGGGCCGCCGAAGTCCGGCTTCCTTCGTATTTTAGGGTCTAGGGTTTCGGGTTTAGGTTTAGGGTTTAGGGTTTCGGGTTTAGGATTTAAGGTTTAAGTAGGGTTTCGAGTATAATTTTCGGGTTTAGGGTTTAGTCCGGTTTAGGGTTTAGAGGGAGGAGGCATCAAAGCTTCGATTGAAGGGCTTCTTGTCGCTCCCACAGAGCCCGACGAAGCACTGGGAGTTGTTTGCTTTTTAAGGTTTAAAGGTTCATGGTCCAACCCTAAACCCTAAACCCTTTAAACCCTAAACCCTAAAAACCCTAAACCCTAAACCTAGCTGACTGAAAGTCGCACTGCAGGGAACCACACACGCTAGTCATCTGCATGGTTTAGCACTGACACCAGCTCTCCACCTGCCAGCAGAGCACGCACACCAACAAAGGCTAACAAAGAGCACCACCCGAAGAACTCAGAACTCATGTGCAATTGGCAGGTTTTGAAGCTGGAGCCAGAAAAGTGTGCAGCCAGTCTCAAATCATTGCAATCAAGAACCACACACAAGTGGAGAGAAAAACATCAACAAGAACTAAACCCAATCAATACACATTACCAGCTCCTGTCGCATCGCGTGCTTCACCTAGAATACATATATACATATATATATATATATATATAGAGTACGATGTGTGCGCACAATTTGTTTGTTGTTCAGGCCAACTAGGGCGCCGCCTCCTGCCCCTAAACCCTAAACCCTAAACCCTAAACCCTAAACCCTAAACCCTAAACCCTAAACCCTAAACCCTAAACCCTAAACCCTAAACCCTAAACCCTAAACCCTAAACCCTAAACCCTAAACCCTAAACCCTAAACCCTGCCCCCCTTCCCTCCCCCATCCAGCCCAGCGGCGGCACAGCATTTGTGCAGCTGCCTGGAGCTGCACCCAGCTCCTGCAGTTTAGGGTTTTTAGGGCTTATAGGGTTTAGGGTTTAGGGTTTAGGGTTTAGGGATCCAATGCGATTCTCGGCAGTGTGTTTTTTGAGGAGTAAGGGGAAATCATGACGAACTAGGTCGTGGTATCCTGTACAAGGATATCACAAGTAGAATACAACAGTCCATCGAACAAACGGCCCCGGAATCGGCGCACGCGCAATTCCTGATGGATGTGGGCAAAGATATTTCAGGCGGATAGTGTGGACAAGTACTCTTTTGTTCCGAGAAGGAGCCCCCATCCATGCACCGAACTGTTCGGTGCGGGATGTTTGAGACGAACATGCTCAGGTTTTCGTGGCTTCAACAAGAGTGCAAGGACTGTTTGAGATGCTTCGCTGTGCCTGGAGTCTTCGGCTGGAGGAGTCGTGCTTTGACACAGACACTCTGTGACAGAAACAATGAGTATGGTTAACAACTCGTGCTGAACACTGCTACGACCAGAGATAGGGACACTGTAAACGAAGCGACCGCCATGGAGACCCATGAAAGCATCGACAGCATGTTGGGATCTGAAGAGAAGTCTTCACAGGCCGGGCCCTCTAGCCCACTCACATCCACTCCCCTCAGCCCAGGGTCGGAACTCCAAAGCACCCTTTAGGGTTTAGGGTTTAGGGTTTAGGGTTTAGGGTCCCTGAAACAGCCTCCATTATTCCTGGCCGGTCCTGCTCAATGATGCGCTTGGCATAGGGGCCCTGCACCTCTGCTACGGGCAGTTGAAGGTCGAGGAGAGGAAGCCAGCTGTTGAGAAGGGGAGCCCTTAATCAGTCGGACAAGCAGGCCCCTAAAAACCCTAAACCCTAACCCCTAAACCCTATGCCCTGTACCCTCTAACCCTAAACCGACCCTCAACTAAGCTCTGGGCGGACACTATCTCAACCCCGGCATGTAAAAAACCTCAAAACAAACAGTGGCGCACGAAGCCTAACTAAGGGAAGTCGAAGAGTCATGCTCTTACTCCGTCACATTCCTTCACTCAAGTCCTCCAGCCACCTAAAGCCAACACACCATGTTGAGCTCAAGGTGTCTGGGTTTTGAAGTTAGAGGCTAAGCCCTAAACCCTAAACCCTAAACCCCAAAAAACCCTAAACCCTAAACCCTAAAAAACCCTAAACCCTAAACCCTAAAAAACCCTAAACCGCTATGAGTGCGACTGCGACCAAGCGGCGCCGCTCATGCAGTCGTAAACGATCGTGAAGTCCGGGCGAGTGATGAGCCTCGGCAGAGCCGGCCATTGTCAAAATCCTTTCAACCCTAAACCTTAAACCCTAAACCCCAGGACCCCCAGTATTCCTCACCCACTTATGAGCCCCCGCCAGACTACGACCCATAGAAATCAATCGAGACCCCGCAGGCCCTAAGACTCTGAGCCTACAGAGCTTCTGCAAGTACGCGCCCGGGGTTCAGGGTTAGGGTTTAGGTTGCGGTGGACAGGTTTAACGAGTAAGCTATAAGGGGCCAAAGCTCCCCTGAACCCTAAACCCCAACCCCAAACCCTAAACTCAGGATGTTCCCCCTATTTCCCCCTCATACTAACAGTCACCCCCCAATTATTTTAAGCCCTATTAAGTATAAGTATAAGGAGGAACACCCCAGCCCTCAACCCTCAACCCTCAACCCTAAACCCTCAACCCTAAACCCCTCCTAAACCCTAAACCCTAAACCCTAAACCCTAAACCCTAAACCCCTTGACATGGCCGCCAAAGCACCGCTTGATGGAGGGGAAGTCGAAGCACTGCTTGAGCATCTTCAAGTGGTCCTGGCTCCGAGACACAAGGAGTCTCTGAACCGTACACCCTAAACCCTAAACCCTAAACCCTAAACCCTAAACCCTAAACTAGCTCCACAAGGCTGCAGAAAAGAAGCAGCTTGGCCCCCAAATCCGAACTAACTCCTACAAGCCCCACACCTGAAACAAAGTTGAAACTCGCGGACAAGAACTGAGTATGTTGGGTATGCCGGGTATCCTCGACGCAGTCGAAGACCTCCACGACTTTGTCGGCCAGCTTGTAGATGGCCGGCTTGGACCTCCCAATTTCAGGGGAACAATTATCTACTGCAAAAGAATCGGCGTTGTATTTGACAAAACCATAAGGAACCCTATTCCCGGAAAGCTAACCCGAATAGCTAAACCCTGACCCCAGCTTTTTGTACTTAAGCCCTGAGACATTGACCGGTAATTCCAAAGGCAGCCCAACTCGCATGCAAGTTGGTCGCCCCAGAACCATATTGCAATATTTTTTTGGTGGAGGGGGGGCGGGAGGTTTACTTTCTAAGGGAACCGTAGCCCAGTAACCCTATTATAGTAGGGGCACCTTTTCTTCTTTTCCATTTTAATTTTTGGGGGGTTGGTTGCTTTCTAAGGGAGGCTAGAACCCCCCCCCCCCCCCCCCCCCCCCCCCCAAAAAAAACAAAAAACAAAACACTGGGCAAAGCCAAGGCCAAGGAGCAGGTCGAGCTTGGGGAGGCCCTCAATGGTCTTGTACTCCTTGATCCTAGGAGGAAGCGTCGGGTGTTGGCTTAGCCGAAAATTGAAGGCGACCATGCAGGTAGCTGTTGCCGTATGCAAGATGATGATGATGATGACGATGACTAGGAGGAGGAGGAGGAGGAGGGAGGAGGAGGAGGAGGCAGCCCATGCCTTCATTCCCGGAAAGCGGCTGTCTTTCGGGGCACGCACACAATGCAAACAGCCCGCAGACCACGCGAGAACACGGATCTTTGATCCCCGAAGCCCTGAGTCAGGAGCCAGTTACATCAGTCTAAGCTCTGAAAGGTAATCTAAGGGTGAAGATGTTGCTTGCTTTCTGGGCTCCTACTTACCCAGAGGGTCCATGTTGTCAATATTTGAGGACTCGGGGCCCGAGTACATACATAGACAATGTTCGCCCCGAGTCCTTAAATATTGAGGAATTGGTGTGTCTTGGGAATGTTAAGGACATGAAAGCTTGCGGAGGAAACCGAGTCTTGGTACCATAATTACCAGAATTATGATAATCCTAGGGCAACCCTGGATGGATCGGCTCGATCGGCTCGATAAGCGCCCCTGGCACAACTATGTATAAGTTTTAAAGGTTCAACGTGTCACCCATCAGTACAAGTACACCAAATGTTGAGCCGGAGCCCTCTATTAAAAGTTATAGTGTACGTGCATAGTACGTATATAGCCTATAGTATATATATATATATACTACGTATACAGCGTAGTGTCCTAAATGTATCGGCTTGGGTTTCCAGGGGGCCAAAAGCCACTGGGGGAAGGCCTTTCTGCTGCAGCCGTGCAAAACTTAAATCAGGGTAGGCATCATTCGATGCTGGAGGTTGGGTTGCCGGTCCAGGCTCGTGGGGTTTCAGGCGCTTTGGGTCGGCGCCCCTGAAAAGTGTCTCCTCTGGCTGCGTGCCATCAGGATGCAAGGGGCCTGTGGTTAATGTGCTAAAGATAATTAATGTGCGAGATTGTTCTTCTGTCAATCTCTCATAGATTCATTTATTTGTTTACAAATATAGATATCCTAGCTATTTACATCGTACAAGAACACATAAGTGGCAGCCTGCACGTGTAATCTGGCTGCCCTTTTCCGGCATTCGTTTCTGCGCATCCTGCATTTCCTTCCAGATTTTTGGATCTCCAGGAGCAGACCATATAGCCTAAGTGGCTGTTAAATTATGCATTGTTGAAATTGAGAGGCTTTTGATGCCTGCCCTCTTCAGCAACCATGGCTGCACAGGTAGAAAGGCCCCGCACCAGACACCCGCGTTGGCACCTGCATAGAAAACTTGGCCAACAAGCCAGCCCCACCAAACTAACGCAAAGTAACGCAAAAGTAACGCCCAGAATCTCCTATGCACGGCACCGGGCCCCAAAACCACGCAAAGTAACGCGAAAGGAACGCGAGATCTTCTCGTCATTTCTTTGGAAAACCGATATATTTTCCTTGAACGCGCCGTGTTTTCTAGCTAAAACCCTGGTTTTCTCCCTAATAACCTGCATTTCCTTTAAAATCTCTCTGATTTTCTGTTAAAAGCAATTGGTTCATTGGTTTCCGAGCCAAAACCTGCATGTCCTCCGCAGTTTCTTATTTGTTGAGGTCATTATCGCACCGAACCCTAGCATTTCCCTGCATTTTCGTACACATTCTACTTAATATTTTGCATTCTATGACATTATGGAACATTTCCCTGTGTTTTGTAATGCACAATAACAACTATAATAAGTTATAGTCAATCATATTGCGTCTCTGAAAAACCTAAACATAGAATTGCCAGAGTATTTTCATGATTTTTCACCAAACCTTAGCACTTGCTCATAGCGCTAACACCCAGCATTATAGGCAGTCTTTTATGCAACTAAGCCTGATCGTCGTTCATCTACACTGAGCGTTGCTAAACCGAAACCTCTGAGGCTGTAACCCCAATAACATAAAACTCCGTCGGATGCGATTTCACACAAACAACACTGCGATACGAAAATTAGCCACACGTACGCAGCACGAAAGTGCATTTGCAGCTGTGCTTGTGCAGTTTCCCACCGGAAGCCCATGATTCACAATGCACAGGGTCCCTCGTGAATGATATTTGGAAACTCGCTTCAAAAATTGAATAAGGGGTTATAGCAGAACTCGAAGCTTTTGTAGCTTGCGTATACAGTTGTGTTCATGTAGAGTAACAGCGATTGTGTCGACGCGCAGAAAGATGATGTGCTTCCAACAAACGATAGTTTATATGAGTATGTGGCCAGCCCCTTGAACAAAATTTCCTGAGCACGGCATCAAGCATGTTATTCGGAATTCCTTAATTATCTAGGAATCGGCCGAGTACGCAAATACTGTATACTTGGACCCTCTGGGTTACAAACCGTACAGATCTTCCCTCGGGATCAAGTCCCTTCGGAAGCAGGCCTCTGCTCCACCCACTTCGAACTGTAAAGCTCTAAAACCTCTCACTCTCATCTAGAACCTTAAACCCTAAACCCCTAACCTCCAAGGCTCTTCCCAGTCCACTCGAGCATCTTGTTCGTGAGCTTCTCGGGGGCCGGCCCGCCATTCCTGATTTTTTTGGGACGAGGGTTTAGGGTTTAGGCTTTCGGGTTTAGGGTTTCGGGTTCCCTAAAGGCCTCTAGAGTTTTAACTTCAGCCTGAAGCCGCCGCCCGTAGTCCCTCACCAGAACCTCCCAACAAGACTCTCACAGTTGTACTTGATGCCAAAGTCATCGTTGATGCCACCTCCGCGAGGACGAGACAAGGTCGGGGGGCAAAGGCTTCCGGGTCTGCGAGGCTTATGCCGGCCTGAAGTCTTTGCGGAGGTGAAACGAAGCGTGCAGGGCTCAGGGTTTTACAGGGTTTGGGGTTTTAGGGTTGGCCTCAAGGCAGGTTTAGCCAGACGTGGTTGCCTTGTTTGGCGCTTGTTCGCTTGTTTCCTCAACCTAAGGCTCTTACACCCTCATGTCGAAGTGCTTGGTTCGAGGTTCGGGCTCAAGCCTGGCCTAAACCCTACACCCTAAACCCGAACCCCAAAAACCCTAAACCCCAAATCCTAAACCCTAACCCTAAACCCTCAGGGTTGCAGAGTTGGGAGGGCCATTTGGACCCTCCTAAAGGTCCTAAAGGTAACGATTCGAGGCAGTAGACCTGCGTGCTTCCCTCACCGTAAGCCGCACACAAAGCTCCAAACCCTTCAGTTTCCAAACCCTACAAACCAACCCCAAACCCCTATGAAAAGCCGTAAAGACTTTGCATGAACCCTAAACCCAAAACCCAAAACCCTAAACCCTATGCAATAGCGACGAACCCCAAAACAACCAACTCCCGAGCCTGGGTTGTGGCTGGCCGAGCAGATGAAGCCACCGAAGGGTTCGAAGCCATAGCCTCGTCCCCGAATCACCTGGAGCTGAGGTTTCGGGTTTAGGGTTTAGGGTTTGGGGTTTGGGGTTTAGGGTTTCTGGCTTACAGGACTTAAATCTTAGGGCTGAGGGCTTGTTAGGGATTTCAGCAGTTTAGGCTTTAGGGTTCAGGGTCAACCCCCCCCAAGTTGCTCAAGAGAGGCAAAGAGTCCTTGCCTTTGATTCCTGGCTCGTTCTTAGTTCGGAATAAACCCTAAAACCAGAAACCCTAAACCCTATTTTGTATCGCTTCATGGGACTGTCAAGGGGGGCCTAAGTCCCCCAAAATCTTTCCTAAGAGCACAAACCCTAAACCCTAAACCCCAAACCCCAAACCCCAAACCCTAAACCCTAAACCCTAAACCCTAAACCCTAAACCCTAAACCCTAACCCTAAACCCTAAACCCTAACCCCTAAGCCCTATACCCTGTACTCAATTCCTTCCTAAGAGCACCTAAGGACTTCCGGGCTGCCGACAGCGGAGGTGGCTGGCGTGGAGAGCATTCCATCCGTACCGCACCTGGGTTTAGGGTTTAGGGTTTAGGGTTTAGGGTTTAGGGTTTAGGGTGGGAAGTTCCCGAGGCGCAGATTGAAGTAGGAGACGCCCAGCAGAGTGATTCAAGGGTTTAGGGTTTAGGGTTTGGGGTTTAGGGTTTACCCTAAGGGTCCATGTACCAAATAGGGAGTACTTGGGCCTTATAAGGTACTTCCTGTATAGGGTCTTTGAGGCCAAAGCATGCAATGATGAGGTACATGGACCCTTGGGGTTGGGGCTCGGGTTTAGGGGTGCGCCGAATGTACCAATTTTGGCTTAGGGTTTAGGGTTTAGCCGAATTTACGAACATCCCTTCTGGACCTTTCAGCTAAGCCCTTTTGCAACCTCATCCGAAACTCCAAAACGCCGAAACCCGAAAAGAACGAGCTTAGGGCCGGGGCTTCTAGGGTTTTCTGTTTAGGGTTTAAGGGTTGCACTTGCGTCCGGATAGGGGTAACCCTCTTTCTGCCAGGTTTAGGGCTGAGGGTTTCTGAAGCCCTGAGGCCTGAACGCCTTACTGGAAACCCCAGAAGGCCCGAATTTGGATCACGACCTATTTTGGCTGGTTTAGGGTCACCCTAAACCCTAACCTTGAAAGAGAGAGAGAGAGAAAGAGAAGAACAATGATGAGCACAAAAAAGACAGAGAGCAGAATTCAAAGGCCGTTGCAACCCAAAAATCCTGAAGCTTGGGTGCAAAGGCCTGGATTCTGAGGCATCCTTTTGACCCTTCTCTGCTGTAAGGCACTTGTGAACAAGCAAAAGCCAGAACCCTAAACCCTGAGTTCTAGCCCCTAAAACCTGAACCCCGAACTCTTGCCTTTCCTGCATGTTTCAAACACTCAGCTAAGCGCTCAGCCGCTGCAACTATAGGATGCGCAATTTAGGGTTCGGCCCGAGGCACCAAATTCGGCCAACACCATTCGCAAACGCGATCCTCAGGCTTCAGAAGGCTCCAGAGGGTGCAGGGTTTAGGGTTTCTAGGGTTTAGGGTTTCTAGGGTTTAGGGTTTAGGGTCTTAAAGTGTTCAGTTGTTGCTTAAGGGCTTAGGGTTTTTGGATGCTCGGGGCGTTTCGTTCGGGGTTTGGGGCGTGAGACTGTCGTACGGTTTTGCATGAGGCTTTGGAGGTTGCTTTGGTGTGGGGTTAGGGTTTAGGGTTTAGGGTTTAGGGTTTAGGGTTTAGGGTTTAGGGTTTAGGGTTTAGGGTTTTAGGGTTTAGGGAGTAAAGGTGCTACGGAGTATCTTCAAGTCAGGGAAACCTCACCAAACAGGCGCGAAACCTCAACTGGGGTCCTCGTGTGTAGTACGCTCCTAAGGTTTAGGGTTTAGGGTTTAGGGTTTAGGGTTTTGGGTTTAGGGTTTATTGCGACAAGGGACTTGATGATGATCTCGATGGCTTCGGGATTCCAGAAGCGCCCATCACCGGAAACCACCAGAGTCCCATTCTGCACGGGCACGTTCTCCTCCAGGAGGGTGTTGAACACCTGGCAAAGCAGGGTTTAGGGTTTAGGGCTTAGGGTTTAGGGTTTAGGGCTTAGGGTTTAGGGTTTAGGGTTTAGGGTTTAGGGTTTAGGGTTTGGGGTTTAGGGCTTAGGGCTTAGGGCTTAGGATTTCGACTCTCGCACTCGCTGAAGCAGGCAAGGATGCTGTTCGGCTCGGCTGCACGTCTCGGCTCTGTGTAGTACCCAACAAAGTACCAACAACCACAAGACAACCCTTCAACAAAAACCCTAAACCCTAAACCCTAAACCCTAAACCCTAAACCCTAAACCCCAAAATTCTACTGCGTGTGGTTGGTCTCTTGGACTAAGGTTTAGGATGTGGGGTTAAGGGTCTAAGTGCCGTTAGCTTCATAAAGTCCTTCCCTGAATCCGGGCCCTTCATTGGGCAACCACTTATATACCCCGTATGTACCCTACTAATTTCCAAGCGCCCATACTTCAGAACCGTTTTAAGAAGGCAAAGGGCCACATCGAGGGACCATAGAACTACCCTTGGTACCCTAAACCCTAAACCCTAAACCCTAAACCCTAAACCCTAAACCCTAAACCCCACCATATTAAGGGACTATGGAACTTCCCTTGTAGATAAGGCATGATGAAAATCGCCCATGCCATGAAGCGCGTAGAGTGCTGAGCTTGGGAAGATCCATGTCGCATCTAGGAGCTGAGATTGTGGTCCCTTTTAGGGTTTAGGGTTTAGGGTTTTTTTCTTGGGTACCCTGAATATTAGGGGTCGCCTTGCAACAAGGACCCCCCAAAAGGGATCGTAATTTAAAGAAGTGACCACGTGGGCTCTATTTCGTAGGGTTTAGGGTTTAGTGTTTAGGGTTTAGGGTTTAGGGTTTAGTGTTTAGGGTTTAGGGTTTAGGGTTTAGGGTTTAGGGTGTAGGGTGTAGGGTGTAGGGTTTAGGGTTTAGGGTTTAGGGTTTAGGGTGCCAAGGCGCGCTCTGCACATAGTTTGCCAGGTAGTTGCCCTCCATGAAGACCTTCGTCTTCTTTCGCAGGCCGCTGGTTCCTGGAGCCTCATGGGTTGTGGTTTAGGGTTTAGGGTTTAGGGTTTAGGGTTTAGGGTTTAGGGTTTAGGGTTTAGGGTTTAGGGTTTAGGGTTTAGGGTTTAGGGTTTAGGGTTTAGGGTTTAGGGTTTAGGGTTTAGGGTTTAGGGTTAGGGTTTAGGCTTTAGGCTTTAGGGTTTAGGGTGTAGGGTTTAGGGTTCAAAATTTAGGGTTTAGGGTTTAGGGGCACCACCCATTTGCTACTTGCCAAAACCCTTTGTGCTACAAAGCATTCGTCGAACAAACGCCTCGGGGCCTTTCTGCATGATATGATCTTTTGCACCGCGCTGCTATGCCTTTTTCCGTGTTCTTCCAATATTCCGACAGGGGTTTGGCTCTAAAACCGAAACCCTACACCCTGAACCCCAGTCCCACAGTCAGGGGCGAGGCAAGTTGTACCGGTTGGGGTTTAGGGGTTTAGGGGGTTGGGGTCTATGGTTTTGGGGGTTTAGGGGTCTAGGGCTTTGGTACAATACTAGGGTTTTGGGGTAAGGGTCTAGAGATCAGAGTCTAGGGAGTGTAAGGTTGCTTCCGCATCTTCCAGGCCTGTCCAGAGATGGGCTCGGTGGGCTCGGTCTTCACAGCCAGGGTAACATCATTCTTAATGACCTGGGTTTAGGGTTTAGGGTTTAGGGTTTAGGGTTTAGGGTTTAGGGTGGGGAGCCGGCGCGCTGGGGGTGAGTCGATGCTGGTTGGTCAGGAAACTCATACTCGAACGGGCAGTTAAGTATCTGTCCCCCACGGCCGATGATTCGAGACTGGGAAATGCAGGTGAAACAAGACACTGCAGTGAAGGACGTGTGAAACAAACTCAATGAGTCATTAACTCGAACATCTTAAGTGTCCCCATTGTCAAGAGCACTCTTCCCTTATCAGCTTAGCTCCTCATGCTTCTTGTGTAACATGTAGTTTTATTTGTGGCAGCCCTTTCGGGCGAAGCCATAGTGACAAAGTGAATGAGACGGACTTGGGCCGACTAGCCCTACCGAAGCCGAAACCCATATGAGTAGTTCTCTAAACAAGGTTCCTTTTGGGTCCCCTCGAAAAGTGCGGCACCTTATAAAGAGACCTTCAAAGGGACCCTCATTTGGAGAACTACCCATATGCTCACCCGAAGGGCCATAGCCTCTGCCCACACAAACTCCCCAGATGAGCTGAGACAGAGGCTGGCCGGCCATCGAGACCACACAAGCTGCTGGCAACCTGCCCCATGCCTCCTGTTCAAGGGCAGGCGCTGAGTTTCCGAAGTTTAGGCTTTCGGGTTTAGGGACCAACGAACGTCCCCAACTGCTGCCGCAAGTTGCAGCATTAGCTGTAATCTAAATGCAAGAGGATGATGGCACTACGAATCGTGAGAGCATGACCCTCCTTCTACAGTAGATCTGCCTTCGCCGCTGCTGCAAAATTGATTTTGTTGATTAAGCTTTTTATGGGAGAGTAAGGGTCCAGCGGTGGGGTTCTCAAAGGGGTGTAGACAGCACCACAATGTCTCTTCTTAATGGGTGGTTGCGGGGCTCGAAGCCCTTTTTCATTTTGAAGCGCGAAGCCTTCTCGCCTTCTCTCCCCCCCAGCCCACCTCCCCTCCCCAAGTCCACACAGACAACACCGCGCTCTAAGCCTCAACGTCCCTAAACCCTATACGAACTCGAAGCGTCCCTAAACCCTGAACCCTATAAACCCCAAAATCTTGTTTTTGCATCCGGACTCCTGTAGGTGTCCCCAAACCCCAAACCCTCCCAAAACCCTTCTGTGCAAGGGACCTCGGGAGACCGGTGCTCCCTGCAGAAGGGCCCTTTGGAAGCAACGCCCGCTGAGGCGCTCCGACAGCAATGGCTCGAGCCCGACCCCGCAGAAAGAGGCGTCGGGACTTGAAGTTGATGGTTTAAGGTTGGTAAGGGGTTTTATAGGGGGTTTAGGGTTTAAGGTGTAGGGGTGTATGGGGTTTAGGGCTTGAGTTGTAGGAGTTTTGGGGGTTCAGGGTCTAAGGTTTGGGGGTTTTGCGCGTTTAAGGTTTAAGGTTTAGGACTTTGGGTTTAGAGTTAAGGGCTTACTTAGGAAGGCTTAAGTTTAAGGCTTTATGGGACTTAAGCCTAAATTTTTGCCACCCGTTTTGGGGACGTCGGGTTTTGGGGGCTTCGTAAGCCATTTGGATCCTGGAACATTCCCAAGGACTTTTTGTCTCTCGTTGGAGGCGCCTGCTCCTTTCATGCCGGAACGCAACGAAAGCGCTCAGCTGCGTAAACGCCTTCATCTGCAGAAGAGTGCGCCAGATACTGACCGAGCTCACCCACCGCTGCCTCACAATGCTGGCGCGCGATGCCTGTGAGCTCGCGGTGGAATTTGTATAGTAGGGTTTAGGGTTTAGGGTTCGGGGTTTAGGAATCCCGATTCCTCACTCAAATGACGGGGGTCCATCTGCGAATCCCGAATCACCCTGACCAGAATGCAGAGGGGGCAACATGGGGCAACATGAGTTTGAACACCCCGAAATGCCTCGGTGGCGGCCGGAAAGCTGGCATTATGGGGTGGTTGAGCCTGGGCCCAATTTGACCAAGATCAGAAGTCGTGGCCCTGCACGGCTACAGCGCGTCTTCTTGCAGAAGAACGGGGGGCTACCAGTGGTCGCGTTGTCGAACAGGGTCCCAGTCAGAGACCACAGGCCTCTGAAGCGTAATAAGCACAACCTCTGGAACCCGAGGCTGTCGAAGATGTGCTGGCTTAAGTCTGAGACGCGCCATCTGTGGCATGGTCGTCCACGGTTGCTGTCTGAAGGTAGCCCTCGCCTGCCGGCGCTTGGACATAAAGCGCGGGAGTCAGCCACAGCCTCATTGCGCAGGGATGGCACAAGGAGTCACTCTTCTGTACCAGATTGCTTGCGCCCCATGACCCTTTGTGAAAACCTCAGCCCTGTCAAACAGCAACATTCAAGAAGCTGTCGCAAAACTCAAACTCAAACCCCGCTGTCAACCCAACAAGCCCTCTATAACCCCTAAAAAACAAAGCCAAGCCTCGTGAACCCTATACAAACCCAAACAAGCCCTCTAGAAAACCCTAAGCCCTAAACACCAAACCCAAAATCCGAGCGTCAAGTCCTCAGTGTGGCGCAGCTCGGACGCCAGCGCCCTGAATCCGGCTGCAAAAGCCAGGGCGGATGGGGCGTTGCGGTCCTTGTGGAATCGTGCGGACTTGGGGGGGGGGGGGGGCGAGCTTGCCGATAAGGAACTTAAGAAGGAAACGATGCTATGTACGTATTTATTTATGTATGTATGGGTGGTTGTCAAAATTAAGGGACAACAATTTTGACCGCCACCCGTATGTATGTATGTACGTATGTATGTACGTCTATCACTCCTGTACATGGCGTATGGACACACGCTCAAGCAAAGCTGACGGACTTATAGGGCTCATGCAGAACCTCTGTCAAAAAACCTAACCCAAACAGCGCAAAGCACGAGAGCGCCCCAAGAGCATTTCTCAACCCTTATGGAGTTTCTCAGAATCATAATCAACATTGGGTTTTGGAAGTTGTTGGAGCGCCTTCTTTTAGGAAGGTATACGACAAGCACATCCTTTTTCCCTGCACTCTCGGCAAGCCAGAGGGGTTCTTTTTCCCTAAATCCTTTAGACCCTAAACCCCAAACCTTATCAACCCCCAACCCCCAAACCCCCAAACCCCTAAACCCTAAACCCTAAACCCCAAACCCCAAACCCTAAACCCTAAACCCTAAACCCTAAACCCTCCCCTTTGGCAAACCAGAGGGGTTCAAGTGTGTCGGGTGGCCCGATCTGGGGCCACAGCTGCCCTGGTTCGAAGCCCAGCATCCAGGAGGAATCTGGAGACAGGGTTTAGGGTTTAGGGTTTAGGGTTTAGGGTTTAGGGTTTAGGGTTTACGGTTTAGGGTTTAGGGCTAGGGTTTAGGGTTTAGGGGTTTGAGGGTTGATAAGGTTTAGGGTTTAGGGCTGTTTGGTTTGGGGGTGAAAGTTTGGGGGGCTTTGCAAAGGGCTGGGTGTGATGTAGGGTGGGGTTTTGGGCGTGAGGCTCGCGGTCGGTTTAGGGTTTAGGGTTTAGGGTTTAGGGTTTAGGGTTTAGGGCTTAGGGCTTAGGGCTTAGGGCTTAGGGCTTAGGGCTTTGGGCTTGGGGTTTCGGAATTCTAGGATTCTGGGATTCGGGTTTTTTGTCATCCGGATCTGCGGATATTGCTAAGGGGAAGCCCTGAACCCCAGAGATGTGGGTGTTTTTGTATACGCCCCCAACCGGACCTGAACGGACGGAAACCGCCGAAACCCTGTATGCATCCACAAGCCCTAAACCCTAAACCCCCTGTAGTCACTTTTCCCAGATCCACCTGGCGGCAGGAAGTGAGCCGAATTGGGCCGCCTTTTCCAGGGAAGGGCGACTACCATCCATGGGGAGAGTCTTCTTCGACTAAGGAATGTGATGAAACAGAAACCAGAGCAAAGATCGGGGAAATATGTTTTTCATGTTTTGTGGCTTCGAGATGCTGAGGCGGCTTATCTGAAGGGCTTGAGCGGGGCTCGGCAAAGTCTGACGGGGGTCTTGGGGCTAACCCCTCCCCACCATGTCTAGGGGAAACCAAGTGCACGTTGAAACGCCAATGGTGAGGTTCCTCTTTCAAGACGACTCGTTCTCAGAGCATAAGGCACCACCACCAAAACACCGCAACACTACTGAATATTCTGATTCCTATATGACGTAATGGGAGGGTGCTGAATATGAGGGGGTGAGGCGGGAGTAGCTGTTAGGGGCAAGGGGTTTAATTTAACGTCCTTGTGCAGTGAGTTGTGGCCGTTGCAGTTGACGAGGCCAGCATCCACCCGACTGTGTGTAAGATACCTCAGAGGGGGGGGCGGGGGGTGCTTGGATGCAACTAACTCCAAAAGGGCTGTTGGGCTGTACTTGAGGGACAACCTATGAAACTCAACCCTCAACACTTCATGCAAACCACAACCCTGAAACTCTAAACCCACCGCACGAAAACTCCGAGCGCCAGTTTGAACCTCTAAAGGTTGACCAGTCACCTGGGAATAAAAAAGAGGGCCCTTTTGTTGTTTAGAGGGGTTTGTAAGGTTCAAACCTAACAAGGGTGCTAAGGGAACCTACACCCCCAAAAAGGGAATAACGGTACTACCGGGCATCCTCGACCACTTTTCTCAGACAGAAAGTCGCTTATAGGGTTTAGGTTTTTTTTAGGGTTTAGGGTTTAGGGTTTAGGGTTTAGGGTAGCTGAGGCGCTGGAGCATGTCCAGGGAGGAGCTGGCCCCATCCATCCGCGAGGCTTTGTGCATGGCGTTGCATCCCCAACCTGACGGGTTGGGGCTAGGGTTTAGGGTTTAGGGTTTAGGGGTTTAGGGGTTAGGGGTTTTTGTTGTGCCACCCGACTAGCCACAGCACAGAGAGGTTCAGGGTCTAGGGATTTGGGGTTGGGGGTTCAGGGCTTTGCCTTTTTTGCAACCCACCTAGCCATACACTGCCGGGGGAAACTGTAAACACGAGGAAAGAAGTCACCGTGTGCAGCCAAAGCTGGCTAGCGATTTAGGGTTCGGGGGCGTAGTTTTGAGGATGAAGGTTCAGGGTTGGCAGGCTGGATCATCCGGCTGGATCTTTGAGACGGTTGTTAAGGTGGAGGAGGCCCCACAACCGCTTCCCTCTTCCACTGCGGAGCTGTTCGTGTGATGCACATCCGCCCGTCGGCCCACCAGCAGGCTGCAGCAGTCCACATGGCCTCAGCAAACCCTATAAACGCTAAACGCTAGTGGCTAAACCCAAAACCCCTGTAAACCCCATAAACCCCCAAAACCCTACACCCTAAACCTAAACCCGCCCTAAAGAGGATAAAACGAAAAAAATAAGAGGCCACCAAGGTGAACAGCAAAGGAGCCCTGCCACGCCGCGAGCATCAGGGGCGTGTCCCCTCCGTCCGTGGCAGCATCCACGAAATCGTCACCCGCCGCGTCCCTTGGTCTTCAGGGTCTTAGGGTTTAGGGTGTTTAGTTGTGGGTTCCATTTTCAGCTGTGGCTTGAAGCCAGAATTGGCGGGGACCTGGAGTGTTACCGGGTCCCCAGCAGCCGCCCCCCTCCGAATCTGGCCCCTTTGGTGGTTTTGGCCAGAGCCAGTGGGCCAGCATGATGATTTTAATGAGGCAGTCTAGGCCCAGGCGGACATGATGATTCATACAACTCTTGGCCATGGGAACAACGTGCAACAACAAAAATGACCCCGATGTGAGCACTTGTTGTTTAGAACAAGCACTTCATCATGCATTGTCATTGTCCAGCAGATACGAAAACACAATCATCATCATGTGACGACGTGCAGTGCATATGTGATCCAGGAGGCCCATGAACATGAATCGTGCCATGGTGTCATGCGGTCACACGTGTTCTATGTCACCATGTTGTCTGCACAATTCATGATCTAGGGAAAGGCAGCTAGTTCAGTTCATGGAATAATACATGATGCAACATGACATGTTGTGAACGTTGCGGCCCGGAAACTACGCAGGGGACATCGGACCATGGTTGCAACTGTGTCGGCTGGCTCTGTCGATCCCTTTTTCCCACCCCAAGACGTGTCAAGGAAAAGCAGCTCACTCAGCTGCAGAGGGTCCGTACCTGAGCTCACACTGTCACACAGAGTGAGCTCACACTGTCACGTAGAGTGAATCATGCAAGTCTAAACGGCAACCATTGCATGCAACTGGCTCAGACTATTGTCAATGCAGCACGTTTTGCTTTCAGGCTTTGCACACATGGTCATGGTGACTCGAGTCGCTGTGTGGCCACTAGTATTTTTTTGCATCATGTTGATAGACTGAGTGTGATCGAACACGTGCTCGATGAAAACCACAAAGCGGCCACACGCGTCCAAGCTATGCCAACGCGACACCAGCTACCCACGGACTGTGCGTGAGAACATGTGGGCCAAACTGATGTGATGCATATGTTCATGGCGCAACTTGACGTCGGATCAGGCAACTAGCACTGCAGTGATGCTACAAAAGTCCTGACGACATCCATTCGCATGGTGCACGACGATGCTGGCACTCATGTCATGGCATCACAAATTCTGCACATGACTTGCCGAGCCATGTGTTCGTCACTTCAGCAAATGCTTCCCGAACTTGCACATGTCCTTCTTTGCCTGGAAACTTTTGCCTTTCTTTCCGCCGCCTGCAGAGACATGTGACATGTGCAATCACCAAGTCAAAGCTGCATTGACAGATGGCACATGATCCTAAGCGTGTCTGTGTCGTTGCTCGAAGCATGTTGATATTGCAAACCAACCAAGCCTAACACATGACTCATGACTCGTTGTGATCATGATCCATGTGTTCGACTGAGGTGCATGATCACATGACACGTGACACATGAGACTCATGACCGTCGTTCCGAACCGCAACGAGCACAGGATTCCTGTGGTACCAGCAGAATAAAAACACCAATTGTGCCAGTTGACCGCAGACTTACAACTAACGACTCATGTATACTGACACTATGATCGTCTCATGATATGAATGATATGTCCGTTGAATGACTGTGCCTTTGCCACGCGTAGCTGGATTGTTGCCTTTGCCGTCTGTGGCCTTGATGGAGGTGATCGCAGCCTGTAGGCCCAGAAGCTGTGCCGGCAGGTCGGCACCTGTGTCTGTGTTCCCAGTAACAGAGCCCGACGATGCCTTTGCAAGCCTCGCTTCCGCCTGTGCCAACGCTTCTGCCATGGCCTTCTGTCGTGCGCTGCCTGCAGCGCCACCGCTTTCTGAGTTTGGCCCTGTCGGCAGTGTGGCGAGTTTTGTCAAGGGCAACCATGTAGGCATCGAGCATGCTTCCATGGCTTTCTCAATCGCGTCGTTGACTGCCTCTTCTGGTTTGCATCCTTGGCTTGCTCGTCCTGGATCATTCTCTCCAAATTTTCCTTTTGCTTCCTGCAAGCATCAACATCACCAAAGTCCACCTCCATTGCCTCCATTGCGCAGTTCCCCTGAGCAGTCACGGGCTTTCCACGTCCTTTTTTGGCTGCTGCCTTGGCTTCACGATCCTTCTTCTTGACGGACTGCTTGACCATGTTTGCAGCCGTCTTTTCCATTTTATCCTTCTGCTTGGCCACCGATGCTTCCAGTCGGTCCATGATGCCTTCCACGGGCACGAGTACCTGCATCTCACAACTTCCAGAACCTTGGCAGCACATGGGTCAATGTGGCTAGGTCGCGACAACAGTCGGAGATGCGCATGACTGTGGCATGCGAGAAACAACTACAACGTTACAACGGCTATAAATTATGGCTCCCACTATGCATTTGGCCAAGTGGCAATGTGGCCAGTTGTTCTGCTTCGCTTGGTCCAGCAAGGCATTTTTGTCCTTGTCGTCTTTGGCAATCATGAACACAAGTTCAGCAGCACAGCGTGTGGACATCTGGTTCTGCTCAGCATCATATCCACGTCGCCAGCACACAAACGGCAGCTTCACCAATTCCTGCTTCAGGTAGGCTTCACCGGGTTTGGAAGCCACTTTTGCATGCCACGCCGCGACCAAGACATCACAACCACTGCCGCTCACATTGGCGAGCTCTTTCGAGTCCTTTGGATTGATGTAGAAGTCGACACCAAACATCCTGCAAAAGAACAATGACCCTTTGACCTTCGATGTCGACAATGTTCCCGCGTGCGGCAGCCGGATGTTCTCCTGCACGGGAACCTTCATTCTGAAGAAACCATCACTCTTCTTGCTTTCCAAGCTGATGTCGATGCCATCTTCTCCCCGCGAGAGAGTCTCATACATCTGCCATTGCAGAATCTCAAGTTGACGTGTCAACACCTTGAGGAAGATTGTGTCCACCGAGTCCACGTGCAGCTGCTTTGCATCGTCACTCCCCGCTAGAGCTCCTGCCGCCTGCAGCACTTCGCTGGCCGCTTGGAAGCTGTTGGCCTTGGCCAGAGACAGCATGCTGCCGGACCCCCCCGAGCCAGAAGCTGGAGCCTTGTTTGCGTCATGGGCGTCTGCACCATCGGGCTGGTCTTTAGTGGTGTTGGTGCGGCCGTCGCCTGTGCTTGTGTCGCAGCTTTAAATGTCAAGCGATCACCACATGCCACATGACCATGAGGTGGCAGCATGTAGCATGGACTAGCATTGGAACATGCATGGGCTGCATGGACCATGAACACATGCTGCTGAAACGATGCATCCTGCAACACATCACATACCGCCGTACCATGACACTGCAGTTCCTATGACATGTGTCCATGTGCCTGCATCACCACAGGCTGCAAACAAACGTGCCGTGGGCAAAGCTGTGGGTGTGACTGCGTGTGAGGTTTGCGTGGTCGGATTGTTCCCGCCCGAAGCCGGTGCACACAAGGTGGCACGCACTCTCCGTGAGAATTCTGTGACAGAGTCTGACTCGGACTTCTCAATCAAAGTCGACCACTCATGCACCCAATGCGTAGCAAACTGCACAGAGTCAAAGGAAACGAGGGCACCAAAGGTGTCACTGACCATGGGCACAGCACACAGGTTGTCGATGAGGCGCTTGATGTGGTCGCTCACATCCAGGCCAACACAATCAAGGCAGAACACTTCCTTCAGACATGTGAGCAAGTATCTCACACGCAGAGAGCACACCTTCTGCAGGGTGTCTGTGGTCTTGAACACCTGGCACACATACATGGTTACATGGACACAGGACACATTCTGCCGACGAATCACAGCATCTTTGCATCGTTGCCCAAGCACACAGGCACGGAAGCGATGAAGCATGACATGAGCTAGCATGAGTTCATGGAGCATGAGCATGAGCATGAATCGCGAGTCATGAAGCACGGCTGACATACATGTTGTGGGTGACAAGACAATCTCGCTCGACATGTCACACTGACGTGTGCTGAGGAACGGTGTTACCGTGAGTAGAAACTGAGCTGATACTGAAGCTGACGACATAACCATCATAACTACATGTACACATGACGTACCATGGGCAGTAACTCCATGACCATGACCATGACACCTTGACAACACAAACGTAAAACATGCTGATGTATGGCCTTGTCAGTTCCTTCAACAAAATGCTGCCGCTCTCCGTACGCAGTAGCAGTGTCAAACGCGAAACCGAACATAGCCGGGGTCAATGACTTGCAAATGGCCGCATAGAGTACGGACACCACATCGACCAACACAAACTTCCTGTCGGAGTTCTCAGAGACCAAGGCTTGCATGACTTCTTGCAAGGGAGGGTGCATCATGATCGGAAGCTCGAGCGTCTGGGAAATGAATGCAATCCAAGGCGTGACTGAGTGCTCACGATTGCATGTCATGTGCTCACACAAACTCCTGATTGCACGCTCGTCCGGATCGTCATCTTCGGCCCAGATGATCTCGCTCACGGGTTGACTTGTGAGGCTCTCACAAAGCAACTTTGCGAGCTCAAGCGCATTCACAGCCGACCTGTGGCTGTCACTATCGTGAGTCGTGATGAAACCGGGTGCGCTCAGGGTTTCATTCGCATCGAGCAGTGTTTGCTGCAAGTCTACTCGTAGAAGTGAGTATGACCGGTGTTCTCGTCCAGACACACTCACCTTGCCCTGGAACACGAACTCAAGCCAAAGGGACATGCAGAAGCCGAAAGTGTCCAGCACCCCATCACTGTCCTCGTCGTCAATGAGCTTGCGATTCTTAAGGATCTGGAACGCATACCGAAGTGCGCCCACTATGTCATCGAGAGCCGTCAAAGGGCGCGTCTCTGGTGCTCCTGCAGCACAAGAGCTGATGCACGTGCTAAACAAGGCACGTTCGGCATCATCGTAAGCTTTGATAGTCAAGCCTCGAGCAGCCTTCTTTCCTGAGCCGGTTTTGCGCTTCTTTTGGTCTGGTTCATCATTCGCACAGGGATCACCAGCAGTGGCGGCGCCAGCCTCGCCTGTCTGGCCTGCGTCGACATTTGCGGGCGATGGACGACCCATCTTCTTCATTTCGCTGGGCTTCAGCTCAATGTCGAGACTATCAATCTCGGACAACGCTGCTTTCACCGCCAAACCCGGGTTGATCCTGCCGGCACCCTCACCACCTTGACCGTGTCCTTTGCCTCCCGATGGACCTCCCCGGGCTGTGCCGGATTCCTGGCCCGATTTCATTTTTCGCACCACAACACTGCTTTCCATGGGCAGATTCAGCAAGTTCATTAGCTTGGATGTCTCCGCACCACCCTTCTGAAAGGCGAATGTCAGTGTCCGACCAGCCGCACGCGCTTGCGCAGACACGGGGACCTGGGGTATCAATACAATACTAATCATGGAATCATGGACAAACATGTGGAATTATAGTCAGGAATCAACACCATGCATGGACCACGACATGAGAAGCATGGCACATGTAACCTAAGCACTGGACGCATGCCTTGACAGCCTCAAAAATCATCACACCAATTTTTGGCTTTGAGCTGTACTTCTTCTGGGATGTGACAATCAAGGAAGACAACGCATGCATGGTGATGATGCAAGTCTGTGGGTCATACAACGGGTCCAGGAAGTCCACGAACGCGTGGGACCAAGCGACCACCTTGTCATAGATTCCGTAGTTTTGTAGGTGATGAGCCAGCGCCAACGCTGTGTAGTAGGAATTCTTCGACTTGAAGTGATGGTTGTATTCGGGGCTCGCGCTTTTCGCCATAACGAAAGACTCATAGGACTCGCTGTAGCGGGGGTTGTACGTGTTGAGTTGTGTCACTCTACATTCTGCTTTCCAAGCGTTCTCTAGATCGAGGGCTTCTGTCAGAACGTCCAAGTGATTTTCGCCAGCGCCGTGGTGGAACATGTTCAACAGCGAGATCACCTTCTTGTAGACGCAATCCGGGGTTCGGTGATCGAGGATCTTCACCTTGCGCAACCCCCTGGTCAGGGCGTCCTGAACCAGGGGGTGGTTGCCGTCTTCCTGGTGACACCTGTAGAAGGCTTCCGCACGATGATTAAAGCCGCCTGCAGACAGCGGGTAGGCGTGGTCTGCAGTACGGTACCTGAAGATGGCCTCACCTGCCCGTGCATTTCCGTTTACATGAGTTCGCGAATGAATGTGAGTCTCGTGTATGTGTCTGTGTCAGTCTATACAAAGCACATGACGTCATGACATGTCAAACGTGATATCTGCAGCAGTTGCACTGTCAATACGTCGCAACCACACCACAACTCAGAACACTGCAATGCAACGCATGGCCTGAGACCATCTGACTGAGCCCTTCCTTGTAAATGCGTGCTTGGTAGCGACTCACTGTGGCCTGCTGAATGGGACGGCTCAACTCGGATCTCACCACAGTGCGTGAGCCATCATCGCTATACCATGGAATGTCGCGCTCATCCACTTGATAGAATGACAACGTCTTCTCGAGCAGAGCGGCACCCTGCAAAGAGCCGAACAAGTCTTGGATATTTGTCACATTCTCGTACAAGTCACAAGCTTTGACGTCACCACGTGTCTTGTGTGTGAGACGACCTTCCTGAGCTTCGTGGGCAACGTCATCACTCATCGCTGCCTCATTCGATGCCTTGAATTGTGGGAAAGCCGGGGCTTTCGGAGCCTCACCCAAACGTGAGCCCGACAAGGCTGAACGTGAAGATGACATGATTCGGAGAAGTGCACGTCTTTGCAACTCACACAACTCCAGCTTCTGAGCCGAAACATGAACACACGACTAACCGCCACAAACTCATATTGACTGTGCAACGACATGCATGCATGATCACGAATCATGAGCCCGCCAGTTGACTCAGTTGACCATGTGACCATGCGAACATTGGTGCACGAACATATCCCTTGCAGAAGCCACGGAGTGTAGACGCATTCTAGGGCACCCTGCCTCAATCGATGAGCTCGATGTCTTGAGTCCTGCGCTGGCATGTGGACTCATATTAGCTGCATATAGCTGGTTCCCAAGACATTGCATTGAGTTGTGACAGTCGCGACAGCCGTGTTGTTTGTGCACCGCTCTTCGTCCCCCGCTCCGTACAGACTGCCGCATCGAATTAAGTGCTGAAACAGCTGCTAAGCAGGCCATCGAATTTCAGGCCTGCGGACCCAATGATATCATGACATCATGTGACGCAGACACACACAGACACACACAGACACACACACACACACCCACACACACACACACAGACACACCCACACACACACACACTCACACACACACACACACACACACACACACTCACTCACACACACACACACACCCACACACACACATGAACTCATGCCGCCGTGCGTATGGCTGCGTGACTGTATGACATCATGACGAAGACCGAAGACATCCTCAGATGATCTTGCTGACCTATTGACTGTGACAAAGTGTTCGGCTAAGCTGAGCGGGTATAGCATTCAGCATTCATGGCAATACAAGATTGACTAGTTGATTCGATGTCTTCGACCTTCCCCCCTTGCCGGAGCCGCTGCCGTCAACTAGTGCCTGTGGATTGCCCACAGCCACCACACACAAAAGCAGTTTCAGTGTCAGTACTGGGTAACGGTCCGGCTATGATTATGGTAGTCATGGCGCACACATGACACATGATTCGTGATCACCGCCGGATCACTGAACCTGAACGATCGTCTTGCCCAGGGATGTGTGGCGCACGTGACCACAACGGTGCCGGAGACTTGCCCCTGACTCTTAGTCGTTTTGGTGGGGGTTGATCGTCAAACGTCTTGATGCGCTTGTCGGAATTCCTGCAGCTACAAGGCACTTATGTGGCATATGTAGTCAGGTGCACTGCACGGTGTACGGTACCATGCGCAGTCATGTCATGACAGTCATGCACAATGTACGAATGCACCTGGCAGCACTACGTGAGAGGCGGATGTTGGCCAACAGCGCGGGTACTTGCCGACGTTCAAACATCATGAGGCCATGTAGATGGATCACCGTCATCACGATGACATTCATGCTGTTGCCGGCCTGCGACATCATGGCCCTAGACGTACGCCCCTCTCTTGGCAAGTCGAAGCTCGACAGGATCGGCAACTCATTGCGTGGAACATTCCACAAGTCAGGACACAGAGGGAAACATTGTGCAACCAGAGCTTCACTGCCCATCAGCCAGCGGGCTGGATGCACGGAAGGATGTTCTGTCCAGAGCATGTGCATGTTGGCGATCAGGGTCTGGAGGTGCAAGTCGTTGGACGCGTTGTCAAACCCGTTGCTCGGGTTTTGGTTCAATGCCCACACTTGGTTGGGATGGAGTAGAGCGTACGAGGAACGGTGATCCTCCTCTCCGACATTCAGGGCGGCCAACCATGCCTGGGCATCGAGGACATCGAGTGAGTCCACGTCAGACTCGCGCGCCTGACTTGTCGGCCGTTGGGACGCCCACCTCAGTTCCTGCAGCATCTCGTCTTTCACGGGCAGCTTGTCCGCATCGTGGTCGTGCACCAACGTGTGTTTGTAGTAGTACCTCCATGAAACTCATGAGATTTCATTCCGATGTTATGCCATGCATGTTCGTGACAGTGGCACATTCACACTCATGCATGCACACTTAACATGCCAAACTAAATGGTGCACATGATTGCACATGTGTAATCATGACTGCCCCCCATGCCCCCCCATGACTCCATGAAGAACACAAACTATGTATGTTGTTGAGCTCCAAACATGATGATCACAACGAGGCGCATCGACCAGTGAAAGTTCACGGCCCGGTGGAACCGAACAGCAAACCTGGACAACGGCGAGATCAGGGCGACGATCTTCTGTTTGTGTCGAAGCCGTATGAACTGCCTCTTCCGTGCGCACGCACACCCGAACTGCACGGCGTCAAGGTCGCAGACCTCAATGTAGTAGAGGCTGCTGACCGCTTGCTCGATGACGTGTGGCGGGAAGCCAACGACGTTCTCCTGCGTGATGTCGGGTTCCTGCAAGGTCATGCGGAGCGCAAGCCAGGCCATCAGGTAGATGACTTCGGGGTCGTGAGTCCCTAAGGCAACCCCACGGCGCGAAAATGGCCTGCATGATGTGCCCGCAATGTGCCGGTTACAGGTTTTGAGGCAGCACACCCGCCCGTGCGCCAGGCATCTTGCGCTGGTCTGGACCAGGCGATTGCTCTGCAGCAGCGGCATCAGCACGTCCAGTGCCATGGCGGGTTTCTGCAGGAGCTCTGGGATGACGCTCTGCTTCAACTCCGCCCGGAAGAAGTCAGCGATGTCGCCGAAGACACACCCACCCTCGTGCTTGGCAGCAACCAAACACTCTGCCTGCGACTCCACCTGCCACTCGATCATGTGGGACATGTTGGCATGCCCACACGTGATCTGCCTCCCCAGTAAGGCTCCAAGTCGATAGCGCAAAACAGCCAGGGCTGTTTCAGGCGCGCGCACGCCAGAAAAGGATGTCGACAGGCTGTCCTCCTCAAGGGCGTGGGCCAGTTGTTCCAGCGTGTTCGTGGATTCTTCCTCGTCCATGCCATCCACCAAGACATCCAAGCTGTAGTCCCAGAAGTCGAACATCTCACCCAAATTGTTGACAATGGCTCGTTCCGCCAGTGTGGCCTTGGAGCCACTTGGTGCGCGCTGATGTGACGCAGGAGCTGTAGCAGTCACCCCGGGGCCGACACCAGCGTTTGTTGCCGATGTGACCGATGTGTGTTCGTGTGTGCTTGTGCTTGTGCTTGTTTCGGGGGCGCTAGTACCAGCACGGCTCACATTGAACAGCTTGCTGATGCCCTCGGCAGTTGCGAAGGACCATTTGGGTTCGGTGTTCTGACCCTTGCGCTTGGATCGTGATCGTTGGGCAGGCCGAGTACTGCTTGATGTAGGGCTGGACGTGACCCCCGTTCTCCTCGCTGGCATGCTGGCTGACGCTGAGGCCGTGTCATTGTCTGTGGTCGGGGCATTGTTGCCGCTCGGTTGGACTGTCGATGGCTCGTCAAGTGTTGCTGCCTCTGCCTCTGCTGCTTTCGGTGTGGCCTCTGTGGCAGGTTGGGCTGTCGATGGCTCGGCAAGCGTTGACGCACCTGCTGCGTTCGGCGTGGCCTGTGTGTCAGGTTGGACTGTCGATGGTTCGTCGATTGTTGCTGCCTCTGTTGCTTTCGGTGTGGCCTGTGTGGCAGGTTGGACTGTCAATGGTTCGTCGATTGTTGCTGCATCTGCTGCTTTCGGCGTGGCCGGTTGGACTGTCGATGGTTCGTCAATTGTTGTTGCGTCTGATTTCGACGTGGCCTCTGTGGCAGCATCAGCTGCTGACGTCGTCTCCGGGACGTCAGTGAGGCCAGCTCCGGCTCTTGTGTCAGTAGCAGTCTCTGGGGTGTCATCAGTTGTTTTGAGGCTGCATGTCGCAGCAGCGGTACTGGGACATGCATGGACTACATGGACATGGCCATTCTCACCATCCCCACCCTCGCCACCGCCACCACCACCAACACGACGATCAGCACTCTGTGTCGATGGTGGATCAGGCTGAGAACATTCGTCTTCCTGCACATGGATTAGTGGACATTGTGACGTTGGACATGACGTTGCAGCATGACACATGCACTGCCAGCACATGTAAAAGCTCACATGTCAGGACATGACGTTGGACATGACGTTGCAGCATGACACATGCACTGCCAGCACATGTAAAAGCTCACATGTCAGGACATGACAGTCTTGACAGTGATGATCATGAATCAACATGCACTGCATGCACTGAATCAACCATGATCATGAATCAACAGGTGCTGTGCACACTAAGTGTTGTGGTATATTCATGTGTACAGCTGCATACGGTTCAGCCGCCTCCAGACCAGTACCAACATCCCGGCTGAGAAGTTCTGATTCCATGACCTCTTCGAGCATCAACTCCAAGTCGTCTGGCACATGGGCTGCCGGTCGAGCGTTTGAAACACCCACCAAACTCATAAGCTCATCATGTGTCTTGGTTTCCGTGGTCACCGACTGGACACACACAGGTGTTCCATTTGGTGTCGATTGTAAGTGACGGGGCTCGAACTTGAGAAATTCTTTGTTCATCACCTGGTGGAATGCAGGATGTGACAACTAAGCACTCAGCACCGACATGACGCACATGCTAGATATACAACCAAACACTGACATGACATGAGCCGTGAGTCCTGTCATGGATGTGCCACACATGCAGTGCATATGCAGCATGATATGTTAACCTGCCTCGCCCACGGGTCGTATCAAGAATTTGCACGGGTGGAACGCTTGCAAGAGCTTCACTCGCCACCCATTCACCTTTCCGTCGGGTCGCTTCCATTTTTTCTTCAAAGCCGCAAACTCGTCTGCGGTGCAGAAATGATCATGGAACATATCCTTGACACGGTCCATTTCTATCTGCTCGTTCCCCACGAACTCCAAAACCCCAAAGCACGGCAACACCGGGAAGCCCTGCTCGTTCTTGCCGTGTCCCGACGCAAGGATGTATATGACACCGCCGGAGGGCACACACCACAGCTTGTGACTGCGAAGCTCCAGGGTTTTCTTCTGGGCTGGGTGTCCCACATCCTCGGCCGTGAGAAACCTCTTGGCATGTTCCTGTTTCAAAATGAGCCCTCGTACCTCAGTGCTGTCACTTGTAGTCGTTGTCATGGCTGCGATGACAATATGACACCGGCCAGGCAATCTAAAGTTAACGTTCTGAAAACACTAGCGTGGGCCCGTGGGCTCCGTGTACGACCAAGCAAGCTAAGCAGGCACAAGAACATGTCAGGAGCATCAGGTTTGTCGAATGATATGGCAAATCTGACAAGTGTGCTCGTAATCCTACATTACATTCAATGCGACATGTCAGTCATGTTGGGACCCGTTGGGACACATCAGGCGTCATGGTTCAGCTCGCGACAACTGGAGCCACGGCAAAGTTCACGCACTGTTGCTTCAGACATGCGGCATGCGGCGGCGCGTGAATGCAGGATCCAACATCATGCAGCACATGTGGCAACGTCTCTGCAACGATTGCTCATGTAAGTGTACATGTTCATGTAACCACAACCACGACCACCGCCACCACATCCGCCATAACTTGCTGCAGCAAGGGCAACAACAACGACGATGGCGACGACTACGACGACGACGACGATGACGACAAGAACAACAACAACAACAACAACAACAACAACAACAACAACAACAACAACAACAACAACAACAACAACAGCAACAGCAACAGCAACAACAGCAACAGCAACAACAACAACAACAACAACAACAACAACAACAGCAACAGCAACAGCAACAACAACAACAACAACAACAACAACAACAACAACAACAACAACAACAACAACAACAACAACAACAACAACAACAACAACAACAACCACCACAACAACAACAACAACAACAACAACAACAACAACAACAACAACAACAACAACAACATTTCATTCACACGCAGCGGAAAGATCTGAGCTGAGTAGCGTCGGCTAATTTACGCTTTGGCGAAGTCATCTACTTGGTTCTTGGGGCTTCTTGTGGCGCACTAGCTTTAAGAAATACAGAGGCAATGAACGTTTTGTTCATGGTAGCTAGGGGGGAGCGACTCCCTACTACTACGGAAGGAACGCGAGTGTTATCCAGCAGAGATAAGTCTGAGGTCTGAATGGCCCTTGCAGCGTGAGGGCAGCTTGTAGGTGTCTCATCTTTCGGACTGGAATCCTTGACAGCCTGACAGCGATACCAGAAATTGGACTGTTCTTCATCTGTGATAAGGCATAAGGCATAAGGTGCTTTGCACAAGAACTGACGGGGACTGCAGAAGAAGTGACAAGGATTGAGTTGTGGAGTAAGAGCCATGCAGAGCAGGGCTGCAAGTGTAGTCTGGAGGTTATTGCTCCCTCCCGTCGCGCCTCGACGCAGCACGGAACAGACTCCCGCCTCGCAAGGCAGCAGAGTCTTGAGAGAGCTTGTTCAGCTGCCGCTCTGCATAACTCACGGAATTGGTGTTTGGGGCTTGCTGATGCGGAAGAGCGTTGTAGTCGGGTTGTGGCTGAGAAAGATCTGCGGATGCTAAGGGCACTGTAGGATGCACAATGCTCCACTGCTCTCGAAGTAATGCCTGGAAAGCTTCTTGTGATACCTGAGTCGGTGCTGGGAGCATTGTTGGTCAGGTGGAGCCTAATCTGCCCGAGAACACTCCTAGGAAGGCGTCTTGATGGGATTCGTGATGCTAAATTTTAGCTCCCTTCGTCCAGGATTTGGTGAGAAACGCCGTAGTGACAAAAATGCCCTTTTCTCATTCGCTTTCACGCAGTCCGGCAGTTGAGTCCTTGTGTGAGCCTTAGGCTGATAAGAGACAATCATTGCTCGAGGGCCGTGCTGTTGCGGCCTTGAGACCCTAAGGAGAGTGCCATGAAACGTGAAAAGAAGGCTCCCAGTCTGGCACCAATGAGAACGTTTGCACCATGTCAGCCCTAAGCAGCCCCAGTACATGTGAGGCATATGATCCTGGCTGCAACTCCCAATGGTAGCCCTTGCCGTAGGGTTGGAGGATCACCTCCATGTCCGTGAAACTGGAGAGAAACCACTGCAGGCGGTTCAGCAACTTTGTGGGATTGAGTCGTTTGGTCATGAAGAACGTCCCTATCGTCACATGCTGCTGGCACAATACTGGGAGACCTTGGATGTGGATTTCGAGTCCCACATAGATCTGTGCCTCTCTTCTCTCATTGTGCTGCGTGACCTCCATTGGATGTATGTCCATCCACGGCTGAAGGAACGAGATGTGCCTCCTTACCCCACACACCTGCAGTTGTGTGTGCCGAAAGTGCAGATCCAGTTCGAGCTCTGCATTGGTTTCGGTGAGCACTTGACTGCGTCGAACCACGCGCGGTGCCTTGGGGGTGAGCGGCAATGTAAGAACCTCCGTGGGGGAGGAATGCCAGCCTGGAATGACTTCCGGTAGGTCCATTGCAGTATCCCGTCTGCGCCTGATCTTTGGCCTGATGCTTGCAAACGGCTTCGGACTTAACTGGTCGACTGATGCGGGCAAAGTGTCTCGCGTCTAAAGGGCATCTGATTCAAGACTGTGAAAGCACACCGATCCCTCGTGCCTTGCGTCGTCTCCTCATTGGTCCCATTGGTTGATGCCTCGAGAGCTGCGGACAACAACGACAACAACGACAACGACAACAACGACAACGACAACAATGACAATAACAACGACAACGACAACAACAACGACAACAACAACAACAACAACAACAACGACAACAACAACAACAACAACAACAACAACAACAACAACAACAACAACAACAACAACAACAACAACAACAACAACGACGACAACAACGACAACAACGACAACGACAACGACACCGATAACGACAACCACAACCACAACCACAACCACAACCACAACCACAACCACAACCACAACCACAACCACAACAACAACAACAACAACAACAACAACAACAACAACAACAACAACAACAACAACAACAACAACAACAACA